TTGCTTTGGCAAGAAGGGCCACCTTTTCATGTGAGACAGGGGTGAAGGGGATCATGGCAGAAGGCATCTGAGTGATATGAGATGAAGAGGAGGGGAGAAAGAAGGAGCTCTCTGCAAATGGCCTCAATTTTTTAAGTGAAACTGAGGCAAGGTTTTCAGCTGATAGGATGGGGGGAAGTGGAGCCATGGGAAGTTTGAGGAGGAATGAAAAGGTTTAGGAGAGACACTGCAAAGGAAAAATAGAAGGATTGCCTTGCAGCAGTGAGGCCCCAGTTGAAGTTATGTAACATAAACTTGTAACAGATTCATTGAGAAGAGTTGTGTGATTGTCTCCATCTTCATTCAAAAGCATGAGTGAACATAGTGAATGATGGGAATGAGCCAAGGCTAAGACTTGTCAGGGCACAATCATTGATATCATAAGGAGGTAAGGGACTCAAGAATAGGGCAGTGTAAAGTTGAACTGGGTTCCCCCCCCCCCAAAAAAAGGCCATTTTATTTTATTTGGAGGTCAGCATAAAAGGAAACTACTAAATCAGAAAAAGGAACTTCTCTGAACAGGTGGCCGTAGTATTAGTTTTAAGAAAATTTAATAGTACAGTGCTTGGCAATGGAAAATGTACAATTTCTCTCTTGAAACAGGTAATTTAAAACAAGAAAGCATTTCAACAGTAGATTAAGAGAGAATCAAAATGGGGAAGGGAGGAAGTGTGTTGCTGATATAAGAGTGATGGCTTGGGAGAGAACTGATGTATGGAGGGACTGGAGGTGATAGTGTGTATTAAGAGCAAGGTTTGGTATTGGTAGGCAGAGGAATAGATGGAAATATAATATGTTGTGATAAGATTAGAGAATTTCAGAGTTAATGGTGCATTTGTGTATGATGGCAGTATCAAGGCTCTTACTGGCCAGTTCCCTTTTACAAAGGCAAATTGAGGACCACTACTCAGGTCTCCTGACTAAATCTCTTCTAAAGAAGCCCTATCCCAAAATACTCAAGCCTAGAAGCCATTACTTACTGCTTTTCCAACCAAGCATTTGAACTGAATCTTGAAAGAAATGAAGTATCTCAATAAATTGAGATCTGGGGCAAGTCTTATGAGTTTCATTAGACAAACTAAAAGGACTGTTTTCCTTTCCTCATGTATAATAGTATTAGGGATGAAGAAGGAGCTTTTTTTTTTTTTAATCCTTAAACCTCTCAGTTTGCTGAGATTTTTCTCTTTTTTTTTTTTTAAATCCTAACTACTCTCATGAAGAAAGTACTATTTATAAGAAGCACTTTTGAAAACTGACGCTAACTATATCTGGTCAAATCTGAGAGCTTTCTAAATCATAACAGACAACTAATGTATCACTCTTCATACTATAAAGCTAAAGATCCTAGCTACTGGGGCAAAAACTCACTATTTGACAAAAACTGTTGGGAAAACTAGAAAGCAGTGTGGCAATAGACCAACATCTCACACAAACCAAGACAAGTTCCTAAAGGGCACATGATTTAGATATAAAGGGTGATATAAGCAAATTAGAAGCACATGGAAGAAAATTACCTGTCAGATCTATAGATAGTGGAAATGTTTATGACCAAACAAAAGATAAAGAGGTTCACGAGAGGTCAAATAGAAATTTTTGATTATATAATTACATGAAATTATTTACAAGCAAAAACAATTCAACTAAACTTAGAAGAGAAGCAGGAAATTGGGAGGGGGAGCGGGAATGTGCAGCAACTTTCTCTGCTAAAGGTCTTGTTTCAAATTTCTACAAGGAACTGATTCAGTGACTGGTTCTTCCACTTAAGTAACTGTGGTCTTAGGCAAGTCACTTGATCTCTCTGAGGCCCAGTTCTTTCATCTGTAAAGTGGGGGGTAATACTTGCATAACCTACCTTGTAGGGTTGTTGTAAAGATGAAATTTACATTTGAGTTCCAATTCCTTGACTCAGGAGAGTGCTACATAAGCTATTTTAAAAAAAAAAAGCATTATGCTGAACTCTGAAAATAAATGAAGGAACATTTATGAAGCACTTATTGTGTACAAGGCACTGTGCTAAGCATTAGGAATACACATAGAAAAGCAAGGAGAAGGCAAGGCAAATGGAAAGGGCCTTACAGCTTCCTTAATGTTTATTTCCATTGACAAAATCATAACTTTTTTTATGTTAAACCATTTGATAGTACCATGAACTTTAATGTTAAGAACTTTGTTTTCTGGGTCTTTAGTTGCTGTGGCTGTTGAGAAAGCTGAAACTGTAGCACCTAAAAAGGATTAGAGTTACCAGGTGTTGTTTCTACGAGCCTTTCTCTCCTGGATGATGGCTAAGGGTGCTAGACTGGAATCAGGGCTGGTAGTCTGGGTAGTTCATGGGACTCTTGTGCTTACCTGCCCCTCAGTGGCAGTTGTTTGGTATTTGGTGATCCTTTTGGTGGTGGCAGGCTGTCTTCAAAGGGATTGTTCTGAAAGATGATGGCTGTGGGAGTTTGGCTGAAAACAGGTCTGGTAGTCTGGGGTGTGCCACTATTCCTGGGGTTTGAGGTTCAGGATCCTAGACTATCTCAACAAAGCTTTGAGTGGTCTCTGCTATATGTTGTATTGAATAAGGCTTCATCATACATTTGATTCTTTATTGTGCTCACTTAATAGAGCCAATGGTAATGATAGAAACCAAAAAGCAAATAGAGCCTAGTAGATAATGGAAGAGGTCAGCAATAGGACATACAGCATTTTGGAAGGAATAGGGAGAAATGAAGGAGGAGCGTGATGTCAATATGTCAAGGAACTGTGATTTCATTGCTATGGGAACTGCTTCCACCCAGGGACATTGGAATCCTGTCAGTGATACTTAAAAGCAAAATATTTAGGAGAGCAAGAGTTATGGAGGAATATGTAGGGATAAAATACAGGAAAAGAAGTTATGCAAGATATGCAAAATAAAAGCTAATTATCCTTTAAATCAAAACAAGGCAACAGCAGAGATAAACCTGAAGCAAAATGGATTTCTACTACCAGCAAGCAAAGTCTAAAAAGGAGATTTCAGTGTGGACTATTATCTATACAGGAAGTCAGCCAGAAGTGGCTATCATTCTGATCAATAACAAAGTCTCATTGCAGAGCACTGCATGAGTAGCCAGTGCACTGGATTGGCCACTTCTTTCTAGTTTTTGTTTTCCCATCTATTAAAAAAGCGGGAGGGGGAAAGAGAATGATTTGATATTTAGATCATATTGCTACAGCATGCAACAGTGCAGATAAAAACCTTCAAATACCAAGCATTATTGTTGTTATTCTTATTGTCATTAAGGGAACAAAAATTCAAAAATTAAGGGGTGAGAGAGGAATGTACTGGGAGAAAGAGAGAGAGGGAGGTAGAATGGGATAAATTATCTCACATAAAACAGGCAAGAAAAAGCTTTTATACTGGAGGGGAAGAAAAGGGAGGTGAGGGGGAGTGAGTGAACCTTCCTCTCATCAGAATTGGTTCAAAGAGGGAATAACATACATACTCAGCTGGGTATAGAAATCTGTTTTACCCTAGAGGAAATTAGGAAGGGAAGGGAATAAGAGAAAGTGAGGGAGTGATAGAAGAGAGGGCAGATTCGGCAAGGGGGTAGTCAGAAGCCAGACACTTTTGAGGAAGGACAGGGGGAAAGGAGAGAAAGAATAGAATAAATGATGGTGGGGGGAATAGGATGGAGAGAAATACGGTTAGGAATAGTAACTGTGAAAAAAATTTTTGAAGCAAGCTTCTCTGATAAAGGCCTCTTCTCAAACATATAGAGAACTGAGTCCAATTTATGAAAATAAGAGCCATTCTCTAATTGATAAATGATGAAAAGATACAATCAGTTTTCAGATGAAATAATCAAAGCCATCCTTAGCCATATGAAAAAAATACTCTAATTCACTATTGATTGGAGAAATGCAAATGAAAACAATTCTGAGGTACCTCATTCCTATTATATTGGATAACAGGACAGAAAAGGTGAATGGCAAATGTTGGAGGGGAGGTGGGAGGAATAAGACTTTAATGCATTGTTGGTGGAGTTGTGAACTGATTCAACCATTCTGTAGAGCAATTTGGAACTTTGCCCAAAGGGCTATAAAACCATGCATACCTATCTTTGACCTAGCAATACCACTACTAGGTCTGTATCCCAAAAGAGATAAAAAAACAAAAAGGAAAAGGACCCATATGTACAAAAATATTTATAGCAGCTCTTTTCTAGGGTTACAGAATTAGAAATTGAGTGGATGCCCGTCAATTGGGGAATGGTTGAACAAGTTATGGTGTGTGATTGCAATCGAATATTATTGTACTGTAAGAAATGATGAGCAGGATGCTCTCAGAAAAACCTGCAAAACTTGCATGAGCTGATGCAAAGTGAAATGTACTGTGTACAAAGTAACAGCAATGTTGTAAGATGATCAGCTGTGAATGACTCAGCTATTCTTAGCAGTACAATGATCCAAGACAACTCTGAATGACTTATGGTTAAAAATGCTATCCATATCCAGAGAAAGTCTCAATACAGATTGAAGCATTCTTTTTTTTTACTTTCTTTATTTTACTTGAGTTTTTTTTTTTTGGTCTGTTTTCCTTTGCAACATGACTGTTACAGATATGTTTTACATGACTACACATGTATAACCTGTATCAAATTGTTTGCCTTCTCCGTGAAGGGATAGGGTGGGGAGAGAAGAAGGGAGAGAATTTGGAAATCAGTTTTAAAAATGAATGTTAAAAATTGTTTTTACGTGTAACTAGGGAAAAATAAAAATACTAAATAAAAGCTAGAAAAAAAAGAAATAAAATTCAAATTTTATATTAGAGCTAGGCAACAAAAATGTTAAGCAGTATATCCCAGATCTGTACATTTTCCCATGTTATTCTGTTTCACAGTTGAAGATTTTGTTGTTTTGCCAGCCTGTTTTTGGTATGTGTTGTTTGTAGCTGGAGTCTGAACCTAGCAGCCCTCTTTTTGGGCTTTCATTTACAGAGTCTGATGACCAAAAAGCCTCTAGAAGGAGCCGCAGATCGAAAGGATCAGTTTGACCAAATAGGGGCTGGGGATCAGGCCCAGCCTCTTGGGGCCTTCTCCATGCAACTGCTGCAGAAGAAACTGAAGGAAGCAGCAAGAAAAATCTCCAGCCTAAGCCAAGAGAAGCAGCAGCTCATTGAAATGGGGAACAGACTTCGTGCTGAACTGGGTAAAACAAAGGGTAAATGCATCTTGAGGACTCTTTGGGTTCTCTCTCCTCTTGGAGCATGAATCTCTAGGAACAGAATGACTTTGAATGAACAGAATTTGCAGTCGTCTTCTTTAAACCACTCCCTAGCAATCCACTCATTCCTGGAATGAAATATATTATGCACACTGGATACTATTCCAGACCAGGGGTGTGGGGAGAAGGGTCAAGTCCATGTGGTCCCCAAATAGGGTAACAAGTGAAAAGCCTTTACTGTATATATAAAGGGGGCAAGGAGTGGGTGGAAGTGATCTATCCTCTGGTTTCTCAGGAAGGCAAGAAGGAAAGCAAAATAACCTCATTGTGGAATAAACTCAGGGTCAAAAGTAACTGGCACAGAGTAGAATTTTATTTTAGAGATCAGAGTTCTGCAAACCAATTTCCCTGGCAATGTTTGTGAGGAAAGTACCGCAGGTTAACAAAAAAGTCTAAGGCCGTTTCTATACAGCTTTGTAACACTCATTAATAAAAGGCTACCATGTTCCCAGACTGACTAAAGCCTGCAGTCTTTCATAGGATAAAGGCAACAGTGTCTTTTAACGAAGACTGATGTTCAAAACTACAGCATTCTAGGCTCCAGTTAGGTCTTTGTTTATCCTGAAACTCTTTTTGATTTTCTGAGAAAGTTAAGAGCCATTTGAATCCAAACAGAATAAGCAAAGATGTACAGATGACGTAAGCATAATGAAAGAATGTACAAATAAAATGCCACAATAAACATGAGGGAAATGAATGTCAAATCAAAATTTGTAAGGTTAACACAAATGTTAAAGGGCTAGTCCTTATATATACACAAAATCAATATAGTGGTACCTAACACTCAACTGTAAAAAAAAAAAAAAAGTTATGTCCTTTCACAGTAAAGGAGACTCATCAGTAGAAAAGGCAAGTGTCAGTAGTAAAGTTGAAAGATAATTAGACTTGTAGTCAGAAGGTCTGGAATAAAATTATACAGTGCCACTTATTAGCTATGACTTTGGACTTATTACCTCCCTATTCTGGACCTCAGATTCCACATTTGTAAAACAAGGGGATTGTAATCTAAGGTCCCTGCCAGTCCCAACATTCTTTAATTCAGATTAGGTTTTAAAGAGTTCCTTTTCATCTAGGCCATGCCTGCTAACCATAGATATCCCCCAAAGTTCTGTCCTGGACCCTCCTCCCCTTTCCCTCTATACTATTTCACTCAACAGCTACCATGAATTAAATTATCATCTCTATACCAATGATTCCCACATCTCCAATTTGTCTAGCTGTAGACTCTCTCTTGACCTCCAGTATCACATCTCCAACTCTCTGTTGGACATCTCAAACTGGATGCCTTATAGACATCTTAAACTTAACATATCCAAAACTGAACTCTTTAACTTTCCCCCTAAATCTTCCCCTCTTCATGAAACTTAGCTGTTTTTTTGAGACTCACAACCTAGGTGTCATCTTCATCTCCTCACCCACCATGTCCAATCAAGTCAAGTCATCCAGTGTTGTATAAAAGTCAAGTCAACAAGTATTTATTAAGTTTTTCCTATGTGCCATGCACTGTGCTAAGCACTGGAGATACAAAGAAAGGCAGTCTCAAAGAGAAGGCACTAACCTAGCTCTTTCTACTTTTCCATTCTTCTTACGTCTTACTCTCCTTTATGTATTCTATGATCCAGTGACGCTGGCCTCCTTGCTATTCCTTGCCCATAATACTCCATCTCCAAACTCAATGTATTTTTATGGTCTGGTTCTCATGCCTGGATTGCCCTCTCCCCTCATATTCACCTCCAGGGACTTCCCTGGCTTCCCTCAAAACTCAGTTCAAGTCCCACTTTCTATTCCCAGTTCTCCTTAATCTTAATGCCTTCCCCCTGAGATTGTCTACAGTTTATCCAGTATATATTTTGTTTGTACATAATTGTTTATATGTTATCTCCCCCATTAGACTGTGAGTCTCTTAAGAACTGGAACTGATTTTTGCCTTTCCGGTACCTGGAATATAGTAGGTGCTTAATTGACTTCTACACAACACTGAAAATGTAGTTCCACGTTTGTAGCACATGGATAGCCCCTGGCCCTTTCTTACAACTACCTGTAGTTACACCTTCCTGAGACATTCTTTTCCTATCCTGTTCTTGTGATTCATTTTTTTTCCATCAAGGGAACAAAGTTATTTATTGTTACACAGCGTCGTGTTGTTAAATATTTAGTAGTGTACTTTACTGTACAGAGGAGCACATTTTTGATTTACAAGATGTTAACAAAAGTCCAAGTCCAAGGTTTCTTGCAAAGCAGTGCAAGCATTTCCCAGTGACCATTCATGGCTCAGCTTAAAACAGTCCCCTTTGACTTCTGAAGGAATGTAGCCAAAGACAATGCCAAATGCAGATGAGCATATAGCTATGTGACTTGGTAGTTCCACATTTCATTTCACTGGTAAGTCTGGTGTTACCTAGTGCAGGATTTCATTGTGTGCATAATGAAAAGGCACCCCTCCCGGAATTTTCTTTTTTACCACATAGTTCTGTAGAACAAAAATCTCATAACACTCAACCTCTATTTCCAAGAAATAATGCTTGATTACATTTCACATATATTTCAAAGTAATAATCAAAGTTTGAAGGAGAAACATGTTAAAATCTTGAGGATTAAAAAAGGTGACTCATTTTCTTGTTATACTCTTATTATGTAAATTCCTTCCTATATCTTAAGCTAGGAGCTGATATCTGCTCTCTGAACATTACTTGAGAAAGTCATTAAACCATGCTGTCAAGATTCACTATAAATTCATATCTCACTTAAGGTATGACCTCAATGCTTCTTGGAAATCCTCTCATTCATTTCTAAATGACTCCTTATCATATTTCCTACCACAGCTAATCCAGATGTTATCTACTCTTCCCAAATTCCCATCACTCATTATATTTGCTGACAGTCCCAATTTTAAGAAAAGAAACTGTACTTTTATTTTTTTTAATGAGGCAGTTGGGGTTAAGTGACTTGCCCAGGGTTACACAGCTAGTAAGTGTTATGTGTCTGAGATCGGATCTGAACTCAGGTCCTCTTGACTGCAGGACCGGTGCTGTATCCACTGCACCACCTAGCTGCCCCAGAAACTGTATTTTTAAAGAGTATTGTACTTTTAAATGTTATCCTCCTAACTCTTTGCACTTCCCTCCCTTCTCCTGTGCTGCTCGTACATTGCCAGGCTCCATCTCTGGGTTACCCCTAATCTTAATACCTGCTACCTTCTCTGCTCCTATGTATATGTTATGGAATGTCACTGAAGGAAGTCATTTAACTGATGTTCAGTTAGCCTAACTCAAATTTATCTCATCTAACCTCAATTGGATCCTCACTGGTGCATGGCAATATTTTTATTCTTCCATATTTAACTCTCTGTTGCACTCCCCAGAATGAAATTGCAGACTTCCTAAAATACTCTCTACACTCACCTACGCAGCAGACTTCACCTCCTACTTTCCTGAGAAAATTGAGCATCTTCTTTATTTCACATCTCACAATTCTTTTACATCATTCCTCATTGTCACCTTTTTTGCTCTAGTCCTTAATAAAAATGAGAACTATCAAGGCCCAACCCTTCTTGTGCCCTTGATTCTATCCCCTCTCGTTTCCTCTGAATTCTTGCGCACTTCATCCCTTTTTTCATCTTCCATCTCTTCTTATCTGCTGGTTCCTTCCCAGCTCCCTTCAAACATGCCCAGGTCTAACATTAATCTTAAAAAACTTTCCCTTGACCCTGTCATCCCTCAAGCTACTATCTTATACCTCTCCTCTCTTTTATAGTTACATGACTAAAGACAACAGCATCAACAATAAACAGTCTACTCTCATTGCCTCTGTCTTAGGGAATCTCATCTGCTTCCCAGTTATCATCTCCTCACATATGACTCTCAAATCTATACCTAGCCCTAGTTTCTTTCCTGAGTTTCTGTCCTAAGTCACAAACTCTCTGCTCTTAATATGTCAGACTCATTATGTTTAAAACAGAACTCTGTCTCTTCCCTAAAATCTCCCCTTATCCTAACTTTCTTGATTTCTATTGAGAATACCACCATCTTTCCAGTCACGGAGGTTGACAGCTTTGGTTTTTCCCTGTCCCTTACCCTCTATATCCAATCAACTGCCACATTTTATTGTTTCTATCTCTGGAACATCTCTTCCATCCATTATCCTTTTCACTTATATGACCACTACCGTAATAATAAACCCTCGTTACCTTTTACCTGAACTTCTAATTGGTCTCACTTCTTATAGTCACTCCCTTCTAACCCATCTTCCACATAACTATCAAAATAATCTTTGCAACCTTGTCACTGCCCTGCTCAAGAATCTGTGCTGTTCGATTTTATTTTTTCCTTTAGAATAAAATCGAACTTCTGAACTTAGCATTTACAACTTTTTACGGTCTCACTCCAGCTTACCTTTCCAGATTTATTTCATGTTACTCTGCTTAAAATTCCTAAATTCTTTGTTCCAGTCAAACTGGCCTACAGCTATTCCCTAAACTTAACACTCCATCTTCTACCTCCATGCCTTTGCACTCCTTCCTGTCTCTGTCTCTCCAAGGCTTACCTTAAGTTCCACCTCCTACAGAAAGCCTTTCCTTCCCTCATACAACTCTCTCCCTCCTCAAATTATCTTGTTTTTACTTAACTATACATGCTGTATCCTGTCCCCCTCCCCCAACAGAATAGTTGCTTAGGAAAGGAACTGTTTTCATTTTATTTTGTATCCCCATTGCACAATGCTTTGTGGACATAATTGCACAGTGCCTTGCACAGAGTAAACATTTAATAAACACTTGTTGAATTGAATTGAATTTATTGAAAATATGACATGAGGTCCCTCATCTTTCCTTATCTGTATCTCAAAATTTTATCTTCACTTATCTTTTCTTTCTTTACTCCTGCCTAAAAATAAATGGCTCTTCTCTTTTCAAAGAGAAATGCTTTTCAAATAGCTCATTCCTATACCTATATCTTTGATTCTCTCCCTTTCCCTGTCTTCCAGCCCCCTATTTCATCATGATTCTCCTGCGTTCTTACATTTTTAATCTTTCCTTCTCCTCTGCCTGGCCTACCAATATCTCTAGTCTCCAATGTACTAAACAAATAAAGACATACCCTCAAGCTCTCATTGTTGCTTTCTCTTCCTTTCACTAACAGCTTTTTCCAAAAGAGTAGTCTGTTATCTGCTACCTCCACTTCCTTACCACTCACCTCCTCCTTAAACTTTTGCAGCCTGTTATCTACCTCTACCACTGTACTCACAGATGTAAGTGACTTCCTTATTGTTAAATCTGACAGACTTTTCTCTATCTTGCTGAAGTTTCTATAGCTTTTGACTCTACTGACCACCTTCCTTTTTGAAACTCACGTTCCCCTTGGCTTTTGTTACAGTTCTGCCATGTGGTCTTCCTCTTCTCCTGCCCCATGTAGACATTTCTCAAGGTACTTAGAATCACAGATTTAGAGCTGGAAGGTACCTTAGGGGTTATCTAGTTCAACACTCTTATTTTATAGATTAAAAAACTGAGGCTCAGAGAGGTTTAAGATACTGGTCCACAATCAAACAAGGAGTAAGTGGGGGTGCTGAAATTTTAATTCAAATTTCTGACTCCGAATACAGCATTCTTTCCATCGGCTCCCTCTCTCTTTCTCTCTCCACTCTCCCTTGATCATTTCATATACTCTCACAACTTCAGCTGATATGGATGATTGCCAAATCACCTCCCAGTTCTATAGACTATCTAGTTCGTAAATAACAACTGTATGTCCCAGAACTATCTCTGTCAAAGTAGGAAAAGGAAACTAAAGAGATTGAAAGGCATTCAGTCCCTCAAATTAGTATTTGACTTTAGCCTCAAAACACGTACATTTCCCTCCTTGTTTACTCTTTCTTCTACCTCAAGATCCAAGGCTGAATTATCTCTCTCTCTCTTTTTTTTTTTTTTTTTTTTGCCTTTTTTGGTGAGGCAATCGGGGTTAAGTGACTTGCCCAGGGTCACACAGCTAGTAAGTGTCAAGTGCCTGAGGCCGTATTTGAACTCAGTCCTCCTGACTCCAAGACAGGAGCTCTATCCACTGTACCACCTAACTGCCCCTGAATTATCTTTTTTAGCCTTTTGGTCCTTTTCTGTATGGGTCCCAGCTCCAGAATCTCAGTTTCATATTTGAAACTACTTTACTCACAGCCACCTCAGCCACATCAGCTTGGAAGTATGCCCATATAAATTCCTTGATTCTGGGTATATATGCTCCTTTAAGACTTTCACAGCTATGTCTCTAACCATTATTGTCTGTTCCTGCTTTTAATATCTTAGAAGAATTTTCAATATTTTGGAGGGCACAACTACATCCCTTTAACCATTATTGTCTGTTCTCGTTTTTAATATCTTGGAGGAGCTTTTAATGTCTTGTAATTAACTCTCACACTCATTTCTCAACTCCTAGAGTTATGACAATCATATGTAAAAATACTCCCCTTTCAGACTTTAATTGTTCCCATTTCCAGGAAATAAGCAACAGGTAATAGAGCCAATTAAATATAAAGATCTGGGGCAGCTAGGTGGTGCAGTGGATAGAGCACCAGCCCTGAAGTCAGGAGTACCTGAGTTCAAATCCGGCCTCAGACCAAACTCTTGACATGTACTAGCTGTGTGACCTTGGGCAAGTCACTTAACCCCGATTGCCTCACAAAAAATATGTAAATAAATAAATAAATATAAAGATCTATGGGAGGTTCTCCAGGCCACTCCCTCTACACGTATTTTCTGAATTAGGACTTAGGAGGCATAGACTGCACAACCTCTTTAAAAGTACAGGTTTTTTTTTTCTTGAAATAAGGACTGTCCCAGAAAATTTCTAGTTTACCTCCAGTTAAAAAATATATTAGAATGGCTTTAGGTAATACATAATAGTATCCCTTTCTTTGGTCTATGCTTAGTTCCTTGGAGGAGTTAACATAATTTGAATGTAGTAGAAGTGTCAAGGAGGGAATAGAGATTTGTAAATATGGGAAAGAGAAATTAAGGGAAAGATCAATCTGGCAGTAAGTGGCAAAACAAATAAATAAATAAATAAAGCTTTTATAGCCTTTCCCCACACAGTGATATTCCCTCTACTAAAAGCAATCTGAGGGGCAGCTAGGTGGCGCTGTGGATAGAGCACTGGCCCAGACGTCAGAAGTACTTGAGTTCAAATTCAGCCTCAGACCAAATACTTGACACTTACGAGCTGTGTGACCCTGGGCAAGTCACTTAACCCCAATTGCAAAAAAAAAAAATAAAAGGCAATCAGAATACTGACATAGATTTCACAATGGAGAGAGCATCTGTGCATATAGTATTTCAACTAGTACAGATCCTAGAAATGAAAGCCAGTAAGCGCTATTTTACCCTTTCCTCTACCCTAGACTTTTCTTCAGTGAGTGTACCGCTTCTGACTTAAAAAAAAAAAACTTCAGATAAACAAGTTTTGTGGTCTATATTATTAATGCCTCTTTCTTAAACTAATGATTTCTTTTAAACATATGTCTGAATAAGGGGACCCAGAACCAGATTTTGGTTATAATCCTCTCTGCATCTTCATTTCTGGGCAAGCTGTGGTTCATATTCAATTAAAGCTTTGTCATTGTGACCCAATGGTCTTACAAATTTAGAAAGAAATATGCTAGTCTATATTTCCTTCTCAAGTCCAGGAATTCTGTAGTTAGTAAAACCAACCATGTTTTCTATTTTCCCAACATATATTTTTATCCCAACATATATTTTATCAGTAGCTTTTGGCAAAACTAGCATATCAGCATTTTAAAATATATTTTATTGATGATAACCTTTGTTTTTATATTCCCTAGATTTCCCCACCTAACTCCTCCCAGAAAGCCACCATAACAAAGAATTTTGTCAGCATTTTTTTTTCTACTAGGAATATTTATCTGGTTTATAAAATCTTTCTGTCATAAACTTAAGGTAGTCAGAAATGGTTTACTATGTGATAATAATAATTTTTGTTATCACTCAAAAGTATTGAAAACATAATATATTAATTGCCAAATGGATTAAATCTATACATATGATTTGTTCAGACATTATTCTGACTCTGATGGTGAATCAAGGAGCACACTCAATAAAGACATGCTAGACCTTATTCAGTGTTGGAACTGGAAAAGTCATTTGGCAAATAACGAAGCAGTGATATACCTAGGATTGCACAGGCAAAGCTAGGCATAGGCCTAGAGCCATGTCTCCTGACTTTGCAGTTCAATATTCTTCCAGCTTTCTTAGGTGTCAGCAACCAAAGCTGCACAATAATCCAGGCTGATAGTATCTCACAGTTTTATGCAACTATATGAGCTATTATATATGATACTGTTTTCTAGCTTATTTCTAGTAACTTCCTTGATAATGCCTAGTATCGCAGGTATATTGTACCATATCAGACCCTCAACAAAGTTTGTTAAACAAATATTGTCTTTGCCTTTGAATAACATATGATCTGAAACAGTTCTGACCTGGACAAATTTAAGAATATTAAACAAATAGTTTATGACCTTGATATAGAAAAAAAAAAAAAGATAATCCTTTAGTTTGAGTTATAGTTCCCAGAATGAAAAGACAGAGAATGAGAATGGAGAACATTTATATTGATGTTGTTTTAAACTTATTTAGACTCTTCTGGGATTCTCGGGTTGTTATTTAAAGTAAAGATGTGTTTTCAGTTATTATTGACAGTAATGAAGGGTAATGTCATATTGAAAGTTTTGAATCTTAATATCTTATAACCAGGACAATTCTAATATTGATTAATATTGAGGGACTTTTTTTCTTGGATAGGCTTTTAGTATTTAGAACCAGATGGGACATAACAGAGCACCTAGTCCAACCACCTTCATTTTGCAGATGGGAAAATTGAGGCTCAGAAAGATAAAGTGACTTTCTAAAGGTCAGAGTAGTTAGAGCAGGATCAGGAAAAAGGGTAAGAGGGAATCTTGACTGTAACTGTGAAAGGAAATGAGGTAAAAACCAAAAGCTGAGAAATCATCAAAACACGTAGCAGTTAAGATGAGAACACATTTTAGGACCCAGTAGAGAGAATGTGGAAAAGTTTATTTCTGCAGACATTAAGATATCTAGAGATTGTCTCAAAGCAATTAATGGAGAATGATATTCAGATTATAACAGTGGTAACATTCTCATGCTTGCTAGAAAAGCATATCTTTTAACTCATTGTCTCATCTTATTTCCAGGCCATTCCATGAAATTCTCACAGCATCCATTTCAAAGTGTTTCTGGGGCCCTATATTCAAAAACACTAACCAGAGATACTGGGCATCATCTCTTAGCTTTGGAGCAGCTTCAAGGCAAGCACACAACCCAGGTAACATATTTCATCTAAAGAATTGACTTTTTTGATCAAGATGTTCTAATGTTGAACAAGCAAGGCTAGAATAACTTGGATTCCTTTATATTTATCACAGACTTTTGCTCTGCCCAAGGATATTGGACATCATCTTTTAGCTTTAGAGCTGCTACCTATTATATAATCTTACTCATCTACATATAACAAATCTAGAAATAGGGAGAAAACAGATCTGTGCTTGCCATTATGCAGATGGGCAGAGACATGGGTGAGAAATTGATTTATTTCATCCATGCACCAGCTATTTCTGGTATTGATGACTGTATAACCAACTCTCCTTCCCTATTCTTTTATCCTGGCTGTTTCTTCTCTTCCTCTATTACACATTTACACTTCTTTTTTCTCCAGCCCAATGAAAATGTTATTAGACCCAAATTCTTCTCTTAACTGTACAGATATTGACCTGGATTGATTAAATAAGTTATATAGATAGTCTTATGTCACAGGGTTTATGTACCATAACCAATGGGGACCCAAAGTGGCCCTCCTAGAAGCGATATATTTACATAGATAAGATCTGGGATCTGGAAAGTCCCATTTCACACATTCAAGGAAGATTTCAGTATCTGTGATTTCCACCTTTGGACAAAGCCAGAGAAGGGCCTTGTCTCGCTACACACCCTTCTATTCTCCCGTCTTCAAAAGAACTATTGGGATAGAATTACATGTTCTATGTATCAGATACTTGCAGTCAAGGACTATGATCAGTGATTGTGTTGGTAAATGTCCTACAACCAGCTCACACACACACACAAAGTCCACCTAACACACATTTAAGTTTAGTCTGCATTATTAACATTTTGTCCATCACTTTCTTAAGTCCAGACAGTTAACAAAACAAGAAATCAAACTCTGATTTATAGTGTTTGCCAATTTCTGAAGAATAAATACCCACAATGAAAATTTAATAATTGGCTCTGTCATATGAACAGCATACTCCTGATTATGATGTTCTTTTAAAGGTTCAGAATAAAAATTACTTTTTCCTAAACACACTAAAGGAAGTGTAAAATTTAGCTTATTCCTGGCCAGCTTAGCTACCGCCTACAAAAGAGTAAGCAGATATTTATCACAGTAAACAGTAAAACAGAAATCTAAAGATAGCAGACATTAATTTAAAATGTTTTTAATTATTGCACAATTAAAAAATCAAGCATAGTATCTATTTGCATAGCTGGAGATAACATTTATGAGTAATGAGGTAGTCATACTCAATATTTATTTTTTCAGTTTGGATCTAGAATTGCATATCTTCATCAATTCAGTAAACATTTATTGAGGCCCTATTATGTATAAAAGTACTATGCTAGAATCTGTAGGGGATATGGAGATGAGTAAGACATAATCTTAGCCCTCAAGGAAATCACAGCTTAGTAGAAGAGGTGAAACCTAAATAAAAATCAGTAGAAGAATATGAATATTTCACTTTGTGTCACTAGAAAATCACTAATAGAGCATGTTATGTGCCTTTTTCAAAAAGTACTATGTGAACTAAGAGGAAAGACAAGGGGAACTGGGACAGGCATCATGGAGGAGACCTAGTTCATTTGAGCTAGGTCTTGAAAAATGGGTAACATTTTGACAAATGAAAATTGAAGTGTGAACAAAGATATGCAGACAAGAAGGCCCAGGACATGTTTGGGCCAAAGCAAAGGGTATATGAAGAAGAGTAGATGGAGATAAATATAAAAAGATATGTTTGTGCCAGATTATGAAGGACTTTACATGTCATATTAAAGAATTAAGGCGTAATTCATTAGGTAATAAGGAATCATTAAAGGATTTTGAACAATTGTATGATGTGATAAGAACTGTTTTATAAAGTGTACATGGCAGCTGTTTTTTAGGATAGATCAGAGTTAGGGGAGAATTAGGATGGAAGAGATGAGTTGAGATGTTTTTGCAGTATTCTAGGTAAAAAATAAGGAAGGCTTAAAATGAAAAAGAGGGAATGTTTAATTTTTTTAAAAATTTCAAGGGGCTGCTAGGTGGCGCAGTGGATAGAGCTCCGGCCTTGGAGCCAGGAGGACCTGAGATCAAATTTGACCTCAGACACTTAACACTTACTAGCTGTGTGACCCTGGGCAAGTCACTTAACCCTGATTGCCTCACCCCCCCCCCAAAAAAGGCAAAAATAAAAATTTCAAAAAGATAATCCTTTCGTTTGAGTTGTAACCCTCAAAATGAAAAGACAGAGAATAAAAATGGAGGAAAACAAAAAAGAAAAGGACAGGACAGATGGAAGAGATAATGCAAAAAATTGACTCAGGATTGGGTGACTGGATTTGAAGAAAGGGAGAAGGGAAGGGAAGACTCAAAGATGACTAACAGGCGTGGGTAACTAGGAGAATGATGGTACTGTAACAAAAATAAGGAAATCAGAAATGTAGAATAGATTTTGGAGGTCAGGGAAGATAATGAATTAGGGTTAGAATATGTAAAATTTGAGGTAATATGTGGTAGAGATGTCCAACAGGAAGATAGGATGAAGGTCTAGAGGTTAAGAGGGCCATTGTAACTAGAGAGATTTTAAATTGATATACATAGAGATAATAGTTGAAGATATGGATAAGAATGAAATCCTCAAGGAGGAAGTTAGAGAGAGAAGACATGAGGTCCAAGGTCAGAATCTTGTTAAATGGTTCTACTTATGTGGCAAGGGAGGAAATGAGAGCCAGCAAAAATGAAGGAACAGTGAGAATAGTTAGAGAACCAGGATAGGGTAGTGTCACAGAAGCTAAGTGTTTCAAAAAGGAGAAGGTATCCAAGTTAACTGTGTTCTTTAACTCTTCTTTTGGCTTCCTTTCTCTTTTTTTTTTCCCTTGCTTATTTCTCCAACTCTTTTTGAAGTAGTGAGAATAACTACCATAACTAAAAAGTAGCTGAATGGTATCTCAAAATCAAGACAGAAAGCTTATAATAAACACCAAAGCAATAAAGCTTTATAATAAAAGAAGAAATAGAAAAGAAAACAGAGAGAAAAATTGAAGCAGGCTAGAGTGTAGTGAAGGGATCAAGTTAAGGAGAGTGAAAGATCATAGGAGTCACTGTTCTGCTCAAAAAACTCCGCTGTCTCCTTGTCACTCCTATGATAAAATAGAAATTCCTCTGTTTGGCATTTACAGCATTTTACAGTCTGGCTTCATCCTTCCCTGTCAGGCTTAGTACATTACTTAGTAATTACTAAATTTCATGTACTGTACATACTAGCTGAACTGACCAACTTGCTGTTCCGCATAAATGACATTCCTGTCTCTGTCTCTGTGTTTTCGCACAGTTATCCCCTATGTCTAGAATATATCCTTATCTTTTTCTCTAGCTTCTTTCAAGGCTCTGTCAGCTCAAGAGCCATCTTCTTATTGGAGGCCTTTCCAGATTGCTCTTAACTGCTAGCACCTTTTCCAAACCCCCATGAAATATCTTTTATTTACTTTGTATGTATTTTATATTTACTTATATGTTTACATGTTGATTCCCTTAATAGAATGTAAGCTCATTGAGGGCAGGGACAGTTTTGTACCTCTAGCTACTAGTACAATACCTGGCAGATAGGTAAGCTCTCAATAAATTCTTGTTGATTAATTGAATAGTGTCACATGCCGTAGGACAGTTAAGTGGCACAGTGATAGAGTGGCAGGTTTGAAATCAAGGAGATTTTTCTTCCTCAATTCAAATCTGGCATTAGGGGAGCAGCTAGGTGGCGCAGTGGATAGAGCACCAGCCCTGAAGTCAGGAGGACCTGAGTTCAAATCTGGCCTCAGACCAAACACTTACTAGCTGTGTGACCCTGGGCAAGTCACTTAACCCCAGTTGCCTAAAAACAAAAACAGACAAACAAACAAACAAAAAAATCTGGCATTAGACACTAGCTGTGTGACCCTGAGCAAGTCATAACCGTGTTTGCCTCACTTCCTCTATCTCAAGCTGGAGAAGAAAATGGCAAACCACTCCAGTATCTTTGCCAAGAAAACCCTAAATGGGGTCACATAGAGTCAGGCATGATTTAAATGTCTAAACAGCAACAAGTCAAATGCTTCAGAGAAATAAAATACATGGTTACAATACAAAAAAATCACTAGGTAGACAGTCTTTGGTGACCTTTTTAAAGAGCAATGTCAATACAATGTTGAGGCAAAAGACAGACTTCTGGGGATTGAAGCAGGAGTGGATATGGAGGGAGCAATACACTATCTTCTTTGAAAAATTTTATTGGTAAAATGAAGGAGAAAAAGGATGATGACTTAAGGTAAAATATTTATGAGTAAAGCATTGAAGAAGAAGAAAAAAATAAAGATCTTGGAAGAGGTGGGAGCAGGTAGGATCAAGGCCATGGGTAAAGGGCCTAACCTTGGAAATGAAAAGGTATTCTTCTTAGTAACTCCCAGACTTTTTGTATATTCTGTAATGATTTTGAATGGATTTTGGAAAGGGTAAGGGGTACTGTTTGGGGATGTTACATATGGGTTTGTGATTAAGTAGGAATTATAATAGAAGTCCTCTGGGTTCCTTCTAATACTTAGTTTATGTTGCTATGATTTTAGGGCAGGATATTCATGGCCAGATATCTCTGTAAACTTAACAAATATATGATACTAGATTCCTAATTTGAGCTTGTTTTTAATGATGTGCATAAATTATCTAACCTGTGTTGTTGTTTAGTCATTTTTCAGTTGTGTCCAATTCTTTCTGACCCCATTTGGGGCTTTCTTGGCAAAGATACTGAAGTGGTTTGCCATTTCCTTCTCCAGCTCATTTTAGAGATGAGGAGCTGAGGCAGACAAAGTTAAGTGACTTGCCTAGGGTCACACAGCTAATAAGTGTCTGAGGTCAAATTTGAACTCAGGAAGAGGAGTCTTCCTGGCTCCAGGCCGGGCTCTCTGTCTACTGTGCCACCTACCTACCCTATTTTAGTTGCATATGATATAGAATACCGTACTTAATTTTTCAAGAAATATAAGCTGGTATCTCTGAAATTAAGCCAGCTTCTTAAGGGACTCAGGCTAGTAATAATCTACAGATAACTCCTTAACCCAGTTTTTTTGACCAAATTCTTTGCTCCTTGGATAACTACGGATTTTAGAGTTTTTACATGCTGAACCCTAAAACATGCCATTGATATGCACATGTATCAGTTCCCAACCTGTTGAGAGGACATCTTCCAAGTGTTGTGATTCCAAATATCTTTAAGCCAATCTTTCATTCCTTCCCCTACAGATGTAATGACAATACATTTAAATCTCTGTTCTATCCATTTCCAGTGAGGTGTATGTGGGTGTGTGTAGGACTTAGTACTTTTCATTCTTTCTTAGAAGTATTGTAAAGAATAATGAAATAAGATTTGTGCAGCTTGTTAAATTATCACACAAGCAAAGGTAAGGGACCAGAAACATATGAGAAATGGTACCTAGTAGTCTCCAAATCAAGCAGTTCCCTGACCTGGAAATTCAGAGACAGCTTTTTTTCTGATAGTAGGAAAGACTGTATGTTCTACATGTCAAATAAAACAGAAATTACCTAAGTTTCTTTTGTATTGATTCTTTTCTATGGCAGGAACTACAGTATGCCCAGCAAGACTATTTCTCTAGATTCTCTGAAAATGCCCCAGAAACTTTAACTGGAAATGATGCTCCAAGCAACTTTGAGGAAGAACCTAATTTGCCTCCTGCTCAGGTACGGTAGTAGTTTGTCAGTTTAATGTCATAGAAGTCTATTACAGTTTAACATGGAAGATTTGGTTATCATGCTATTTACTACATTAGAGATGGAAGAGACTTTTATCTAGTCCAATCTCCTCATTTTGCATGTGAGCAAACTGTGGCTCAGAGAGCTTATATGACATATATACTTTCACCAGAATAGTAAGTGACAGATCTGAGATCCATATCTAAAACCTCAGATTCCAAATAGTCCAAACATGTCCTTTCTACTACATCACATTAAACTGCAACAAGTTCATTTCCTAAAAGATAGATGTTGTTTGATAATTCATTGATCTTGAGTTGCTGAGGACTTATAAAATGATAAAATACTTTATTCAGAGTTGTGTTTATCAGACAGAATTGGTGACAAGATATTTGTACAGTTAGCTAACCAGTGATAATTAGCGGTAGGAATGAAAAGGCCTGAGCAGAAAAAAATAAAATAAAATAAGAGACAGTTTCATCTAGAATAGTAGAAAGAGGCTAAGATTAGATGATTAAGTCAGACTGCTCTGTGCATCAAGAGCTTTAGAAGAAAAGAGGTTCATCATTGCACATGGAGTCAGACCTGATGCATTGGTTAGTTTTGCTGAACTGCTTTTTTTCCTCAAGATTATTTATTCTTTGTTATGAGGAATGGTTCGATGGGTCAGGGAGGTAGTATCCATATATTAAAAAATGAAGGTTAGGTAAAAATCAAAGCTATCAATAACTTTTTTTCAGTTTCCCACAGGTTTTTAAATTTCATTTAGTATTTTATTTTTCCCCAGTTACATGTAAAAACAATTATTAACATTTATTTTTAAAACTTTGAGTTCCATATTCTCTCCCTCCCTCCTCATGCCCTCTATAGAGAAGCCAAGCAATTCGATATAGGTTATATATGTGCAGTCATGCAAAACATTTCTATGTTAGTCATGTTGTGAAAGAAAACATAGACCCCCCCCAAAAAAAAACCTCAAGAAAAATAAAGTTAAAAAAGTATGGTTCAATCTGTATACAGACACCATCAGTTCTTTCTCTGGGGACGGATAGCATTTTTCATCATAAGTCTTTCAGAGCTGTATTCATTGTATTGCTGAGGATAGCTAAGTCATTCATAGCTGATCATTTAACAGTATTGCTGTTACTTTGTACATAATACATTTGCATCAGTTTATCTAAGTCTAGCCAGGTTTTTTTTTTGAGAGCATCCTGCTAATCTATGCACAATATATTATAATATAATTAATAATAGTAACATTATAATGCACAGTATTATTCCATCACGATTACATACCATAATTTGTTCAGGCATTTCCCAGTCGATGGACATCCCCTCAATTTCCAATTCTTTGGCACTGGAAAAGAATTGTTATAAATATTTCTGTACATATGGGTCCTTTTCCTTTTTGTTTTTTATCTCTTTTGGGATACAGACCTAGTAGTTGTATTGTAAGGTCAAAGGGTATGCATGTTTTATAGCCCTTTGGGCATCGTTCCAAATTACTCTACAAAATGGTTGAATCAGTTCACAATTCCACCAACAGTGAAATAATGTCTCATTTTTCCCACATCTCCTCAAACATTTGTCATTTACCTTTTCTGTCCTAATCTAATAGATATGAGTTAGTACCTCAAAAGTGTTTTCATTTGCATTTCTCCAATCACTAGTGAGTTAGAGCATTTTTTCATATGGCTATAGATAGCTTTGATTACTTCATCTGAAAACTGATCATATCTTTTCATCATTTATCAGTTGGAGAATGGCTCTTATTTTTATAAATTTGACTCAGTTCTCTATATGTTTGAGAAATGAGGCCTTTATCAGAGAAACTTGCTTCAAAATTTTTTTCACAGTTACTATTGCTGTTTCCCCCCCATCTTAGTTCTCCTTGTTTATTCTGTTCTCTGTGTCCTTTCACTCTGTCCCTCCTCAAAAGTGTTTTGCTTTTGACTACCCCCTCCCCAAATCTGTCCTCCCTTCTATCACTCCTCCCTTCTTTTATCCCCTTCTTCTCCTACTTTCCTATAGGGTAAGGTAGATTTCTATACCTGATTGAGTGTGTATGTGTTCCCTCTTTATGCCAATTCTGATGAGAGTAAGGTTCACTCACTCCTCCTCACCTTACCCCTTTTCCCCTCCTCTGTAAAAGCTTTTTCTTGCTTCTTTTATGTGAGATAATTTGTCCCATTCTACTTCTCCCTTTCTGTTTCTCCCAGTACATTCCTCTCTCACCCCTTAGTTTCATTTTTTTAGATATCATTCCACACACATAGTATAAAGGTAAAAGATTGGATTAGAATGTATTATGCTTCAGCTGAAGTAAAAAAAAACAGGGGTAGCAATCCTGATCTCAGACAAAGCAAAAACAAAAATAGATCTTATCAAAAGAGATAAGGAAAGAAACTCCGTCCTGCTAAAAGGCACCATAGACAATGAAGTAATATCATTACCAAACATATATGCACCAAATGGTATAGCATCCAGATTCTTAGAGAAGTTCAGGGAGTTACAGGAAGAAATAGACAGCAAAACTATACTAGAGGGGGATGTCAACCTCCCCTTCTCTGAACTAGATAAATCTAACCACAAAATAAACAAGAAAGAAGTTAAGGAGGTGAATAGAACAGTTAGAAATAGAAATAGAAAAGTTAGGTATGATAGACCTCTGGAGAAAACTGAATGGAGATAGAAAGGAATATACTTTTTTCTTGGCGGTACGTGGCACATACACAAAAATTGACCATGTTCTAGGGCATAAAAACCTCACAATCCAATGCAGAAAGGCAGAAATATTAAATGCATCCTTTTCAGATCATGGTGCAATAAAAATTATATGTAATTAAGGGCCATGGAATGATAGACTAAAAAATAATTGGAAACTAAGTAATCTAATCCTAAAAAATGAATGGGTCAAACAAAAATCATAGAAACAATCAATAATTTCATTCAAGAGAATGACAATAATGAGACAACATACCAAAACTTATGGGATGCAGCGAAAGCAGTTCTTAGGGGAAGTTTTATATCTCTAACTGCTTACATGAATAAAATAGAAAAAGAGGAGATCAATGAATTGGGCATACAAACTAAAAAAAAAAAAACTAGGAAAAGAACAAATTAAAAATCCTTAATTAAACACCAAATCAGAAGTACTGAAAACCAAAGGAGAAATTAAGAAAATGGAAAATTAAGAAAACTATTGAACTAATAAATAAAACTAAGAGCTGGTTTTATGAAAAACCAATAAAATAGATGAACCTTTCGTTAATTTAATTAAAAAAAGAAATAAGAAAACCAAATTACCAGTATCAAAAATGAAAAGGGTGAATCCACCACCAAGGAAGAGGAAATTAAAACAATAATTAGGAACATTTTGCCCAGCTGTATGCCAATAAATTTGACAATCTTAGTGAAATGGATGAATATTTACAAAAATATAAATTGCCCAGATTAACAGAAGAGGAAGTAAAATACTTAAATAGCCCCATCTCAGAAAAAGAAACTGAAAATCTCCAGGGTCAGATGGATTTACACGTGAATTCCATCAAACATTTAAAGAACAATTAATTCCAATACTATATAGACTATTTGGGAAAATAGGTGAAAAAGGAGTCACCAAATTCTTTTTATGATACAAATATGGTGCTGATACCTAAACTGGGAAGGGTCAGAACAGAGAAAGAAAATTATAGACCAATTTCTCTAATGAATATAGATGCAAAAATTTTAAATAAAATACTAACAAATAGATTACTGCAACTTATCACAAGAATAATATAGTATGACCAGGTAGAATTTATACCAGGAATGCAGGGCTGGTTCAATATTAGGAAAACTATCAGCATAATTGATCATATTAACAACAAAACTAACAGAAACCACATGATCATCTCAACAGATGCAGAAAAAGCTTTTGACAAAATATAACATCTATTCCCATTAAAAACACTAGAGAACATAGGAATAAATGGAGTCTTCCTTAAAATAATAAGTAGCATCTACCTAAAACCTTCAGCAAGCATCATATGTAATGGGAACAAGCTAGAAGCATTTCCAGTTAAGACAGGGGGTGAAACAAGGATGTCCATTATCACCACTGTTGTTCAATATCGTACTGGAAATGTTAGCTTTGGCAATAAGGGAAGAAAAAGAAATTGAAGGTATTAGAATAGGCAAAGAAGAAACAAAGCTATCACTCTTTGCAGATGATATGATGATATACTTAGAAAATCCTAGAGAATCAAGTGAAAAACTGCTTGAAATAATAAACAACTTTAGCAAAGTTGCAGGTTATAAAATAAACCCACATAAATCATCGGCATTTCTATATATTACCAACAAAACCCAACAGCAGGAGATAGAAAGAGAAATTCCATTTAAACTTCCTGTAGACATTATAAAATATTTAGGAGTGTACCTACCAAAACTAACCCAGGAACCATATGAACACCATTACAAAACACTTTTCACACAAATAAAATCAGATCTAAGTAATTGGAAAAACATCAATTGCTCGTGGGTAGGCTGAGCTAATATAATAAAAGTGACAATTCTACCTAAGCTAATTTACTTATTCAGTGCCACATCAATCAAACTACCAAAAATTATTTTATAGAGTTAGAAAATATAATAACAAGATTCATTTGGAAGAACAAAAGGTCCAGAATATCAAGGGAACTAATGAAAAAAAATGCAGGGGAAGGTGGCCTAGCCATTCCAGATCTTAAATTGTATTATAAAGCAGCACTGAATAAGTAAATCAGGAGGATCTGAGTTCAAATCTGTCCTCAGACACTTGACACTTACTAACTGTGTGACCCTGGGCAAGTCACTTAACGCCGATTGCCTAACCAAAAAAAAAAAAGAAAGAAAGAAAGAAAAAGAAATGATGAGTAGGCAGACTTCAGAAAAACCTGGAAAGACTTATATGAACTGATGCTAAGTGAAGTGAGCAGAACCAAAAGAACATTGTACATAGTAGCAGCCATATTGTGCAATGACTAACTTTGATAGACTTGGCTCTTCTCAGCAATGCAGGGATCTAAGACAACTCCAAAAGACTCATGATGGAAAATGCTGTCCATATCCAGAAAAAGAATTATGGAGTCTGAATGCAGATCAAAGCATATTATTTGCTCTCTCTCTCTTTATTATTTTTTTTGTTTCTTCTTTCTCGTGATTTCTCCCATTGGTTCTAATTCTTCTTTACAATACAACTAATGTGAAAATAGGTTTAATATGAATGTATGTGTAGAGCCTATATCAAATTACATACCATTTTGGGGTGGGGGAAGGGAAGAGATGGAGAAAATTTGGAACTCAAAGTCTTATGAAAGTGAATGTTGAAAACTAAAAATAAATAAATTTTTTTTTAAAAAGTAAGGCTTTGCTTCCAGGGGTGAGGGCACACTGTCCCAAGCTTCAGGGTTTTGTACAGCTGTTTTCAGAGTTACTTCTAGAGAACCTGTAAGTTTTCAGTTCTTCCAAGGTAGTATGATCTAAGGAGAGGAATGTTTACTACTCTCCTGGCTGTGCTGTGGTCTGTGAGTGACCACAAGCACTCTTTTCTGCCTTGGAACTGTGATGAAGGCCCTTGCTCCACTGTGGCCACAAACTCTAGTGGGATAGTGCTCCTCCTTGCCCTGTGATTACCACCCAGGACTATGATGGGGATCCAAGTATTGGCAAAGCAACAGAGTCCTGCCTCAGTGCTAGCAAAGAGACCTCTGTAATCTCCTTCTGACCACTTGTTTGACCCTTTTACCGTCTGTGGGTTGAGAGCTCTGGAAGCAGCCACTGCCACTGCTGATTCAGTGACTGCCAAGGCCTCCTCCTGGTTTGCTTGGTCTGGGTCTGTGCTTGCTAGACCTGCACTAGACTGTGCTTCACTCTTCACCCAGGTGCATCAGACCTTTCCTGCTGACCTTCTAAGTTGCCTTTTCCTGGAAAATTATTTTGCCCTGTCCTGCTCCAGGAGTTGTTTTATGGCATTATTTAAAGTTGTTCAGAGGGGTTTTGAGAAGACCTCAGGCAAGTCTCTGCCTTTTCTCTGCCATCTTGGCTCCTATCAATTTTTAAAAATTGTTTTCAGAGCAGGTCAAAAAAGAAAGAAAGAAAAGGTGTTTACTCTTCCCACAGGAAAGAGAGCCAGGAAACAATGCTTTATCAGAAAGGAACAGAAAGGGAATAGCAAAAGGTATAAGAAACAGCAGAGAATTGAGCTAAAATAAAATTTAGTAATTAAAAGACAAAGCCATTAACCAGTATTGACATTTGAATTTTGGTAGATCAGTAATAAGGAGAAACCTACAGGTATCTATCATCCTATCTCCACATTACATTTCATTGTGAATATAGAAAATAGACAAATTATTATGCCTTATTCAGTACAAAGTAGGGCCCAATGAGACCTTTCTTAAATAGTTATCCCCTTTCTTTCTAAGTAGAGTCACTTTTTTTCTATACAGGAAATCTTCACACACACACACACACACACACACACACACACACGAGTCTGACCTTCCCCATACAGGATAAAGAATTGCTTAAAATACTGCTTTGTTTTGTTGTGCTGTGACAGATCAGTGTAGACATGGTTTTGTATGATTCAGACAAATTGAGCCCATTGTTGGAGATAAGAAGGTTTTCTTAGCTTTAGATATGGTCTCCAGACCTTAGTAAAATCACTTTTCTCTGCTCCTGATAACTCAGACCCATCACAGGGCTCCTCCATCCAGTATCTTTTCCAGAGTTTCCTGCACTAGTGGACCTTGAAATATTAATTCATTGTAGCTGTTTTGAAAAATGCTTCTGCTTGATCTAATTATTGAAATAGATGCTATGTGGAGATCCCAATCCATACAGAACAACTTTTCAGCCGGCTGGAAAAAAAGAAAAAAATAACAACTTCCACACTGTAGGTACTTAACACATATGAATTGAATTGAATTTGTTCAAATGGCTTCAAATCTAGCTCCGGATATACTCTACTCAATAAAGTCATATTATGTGGTCAAAAATGGATATTAGTTAATAATTAGCATCTACTTCATCTGTGTCAGATAGAAGTTCTATGAAGTAGTCACCATATACCTAAGTTAAGTAGAAGTAGTAGCTGTGTCCTGAAAAGCATGCTGAAATGAGGACTTTATTTGTGATTAGGAAAAGGTAATTAGGCCTTCCTCCAACTCCATAGTGCTTACAAATTGATTTCCCCAAACTTTCTAAATCACAGAAGAATTGCCATTCTGCATTGGTGTAAGGAGTTTCTGTACCAGGAGTTGAAATCATTGGTACAGATGCCCACACACATGCACACCCAAAAAACTATTTATTTCCTTTAATCATCAGTCTTTCTTCTTTTCTCCATGTTTATTCAAGCAGGAAGATCATCCTAGGTCTTTTCATTCCCTCCCAGATATATCTAAATAAGATATTGGATCTAAGATTCAGAAAGTACTCTCTTATTTAACCCTTCCTGATGCCCAAATGTTCCTCAAAGAATTAGAGATACAAACTTCAGCTAACTTAACCTTTTATTAAGTAACTATTATGTGTAAGACTATTGAAATTCTATTCTGATGCCCTATCATGGGACCAAAGTGACAATAGAATTTCAAAAGCTATGCTAATAAAGCTCAAGCCAGTTCTACTAATTTGGAGTAACTTCCAGTTTGGTTATAAATTATATGCTTGTCATCTGGAGACCATCCTAGCAATGTTTATAGGATCTTATCATTAAAGGGTTGACAACTAAGTAAGTCGTTTTTGTCCCTAGCAACAGCTTAATGGGGAGGGCGTAATGGAGGAGATAAAGACGAAGTCACAGATTGTTGAAGTATTGATATATACGTAAAGCGCTATCCTAGAAAAATGCCTATTCTCATCAGCCTTCTAAATTTCATCTACTGAAATATCTAGTTTTTCCTTCTTTACTATTTTCCTTACTCTTTATCAAGAGGTTCCTGGGATCTGGGAGTCTTGTTGCTTTCTGGAGATCAAGTCTTTTCTGACTTTCATAGATCCAACTTAATACTCCCATGAGGATTAGTAAAGTGGCTCAGGAGAAAGAAAACAGATCTCCAATGCCAACTGAGACCCAAGAGCTGCATGAGGAAAATAGGCACCATACCCGAAGATCATCATCTCAGGCTGGCAGCTCCCTCCAGGATATATGGCAGATGTTAGATCTGGGATCTAGTCCTTCTGGCTTCACCTCTCAAGATGACTCCATTCCAGGTAAGAAAAAATAGTGATCTACACAGAGTGGGTTCTTATAAAGTTGGATGGTGAAGATGATAATGGTGATGATGATAATGAAGTTATATTGTTGTACCTGAGGCTATTACACAAACAAATAAATGTCATGTTTTCCTCTTATTTATGGGATTATAGAATTTAGAGCTAGAAGAGATCACTTAGTTCAGCTACTTATTTTCCAGATGAGAAAACGGAGGCCCTGAAAGATTAAATGATTTCCCAAGGTGACAGGGAATAAGTAGAAGAACTGGTATTCAAATCACAAATCTATTTTTCTTTCCGCTACCATGATGCTTCTGTTTATAAGGTTTTAGGTTGGGTTTGTTTTTTTTTTTTTAAATCATAGCCTTGTACCTCCCTTGTATTGCCTGAATATTAGCAATAGCAAATGGGAAGTATGGTCCAAAGAGCAGGGAAGGTCCCTCTCTTCTGCGGTGCTATCTCGCACTGTGGCATGCACATGAATATTAACTTATATTGTCTAAAATAGGGATCTTTAACTGAGTTGTAAGCAGTAGTCATTTCTCCATAAGCAGGTTATGTGCTATAATTTATACAATGCTTTGACTTTGTGAGAAGTAAGCACCTATCCCTATATCAGTGAAATTCCGTGTAGCCTGAATAGCATAAGTAGCTTATGCCGTACACTAGAGATGCAGTCAGGCTCCAATTTGCACTGGGCTTTTTCTTGTTAAACTTTTTCTCTACTCTCACTCAGACCATGCTTCTGTGGAGACAGCATATTAATTGACATCCTAGCTCACAAATAGTAGATAAGCAGTAGATGGGTTGAAGTACATGAACAGAGCCTCCTGAGAAGAGGAGAGATATGTGTTAAAGCTACAGGTGATAAGATAGAAAGATAGAGGAAGGGAACATGAAAGCTCTTTGGGGTCAGATGGAGACATAAAAGCAGTGCATGAGTTGAAGAGGTGACTGATATTTGAACTGAATGTTTACATGTGTCCAATGCTTAGTTCATCTGGCAGGTTTGGACAGCAGGCTGTTATTCTGTGTTGTTGTCCTGAGTTCCTGACTGTAAGTTAAACATTTGTATTTATTTAGAGCAGGCGTTGTCAGTGACTTGAGAAACAGAGGTGGTGATTGGCTGTCAGGAGATCATGGAAGGTCAGCTGACAATACTGTTGTTATTTCAAGCTGTCAGCTGTACTGCAAAATTTCAGTGCAGTTTCCTAACCTTTTGCAACTTCCATTCATATTAGACATTAGCTTCAAATTTTTACAGTAAACCAGAAATCAGTGATAGAGAAAGCATGACAAGAGCATGAAACATGTAAAATCTAACAGGAGGGAAGCACACATAGGGAAAGGCTCTTTTGCTCTGGCTCTTGGGGCCTTGGTGTCAGGTGTGATACTTGCCAGTTCTAGGAGTATCCTAGAGGTAAGGAAACCCTAGAAGGATATCTCTGAGCCTCTCTGCAGCAATGCTAATGGAGCCAGTAACTGGTGTTGATACCCTATATTGGGCTTCTGTTAAAACCATCTGGTAAATGTCACTTTTTTTTTAATAGTATTTTTTCCAATTACATGTAAAGACAATTTTTTACATTCCTTTTTTATAAAATTTTGAGTTCCAGATTTTCTCCCTCCCTCCTTTCCCCCCTCCCTAAGATGGTAAGCAATTTGATATAGGTTCTAGATGTGCAATCATGTAAAATATATTTCCATATTAGTCATGTTGTAAAAGAAGAAACAGTTTGCAAAAAGAATTACAGATTGCAAAAGGAAAAAGAACACCAAAAAAAAATAAAGAAAGTGAAAACACTATGCTTCTATCTGCATTCATACTCTATCAGATCTTTCTCTGGATGTGGATAGCATTTTCCAGTTGATCATTGCAGTGTTGCTGTTACTGTGTACAATGTTCTCATTGGGTCTGCTCACTTCACTTTTCATCTGTTCATGTAAGTCTTTCCAAGTTTTTCTGAAATCTTCCTGCTTGTTATTTCTTATAGCACAATAATATTTTATTACATTCATATGCCACAACTTATTCATCCACTCCCCCAATTAATGGGCATCCCCTCAAGTTCAAATTTGCCACCATAAAAAGACTGTTACAAATATTTTTGTGCACATAGGTCATTTTCCCTTTTTTATAATCTCTTTGAGGTACAGACCTAATAATGGTATTGCTGGATCAAAGGGTATGTATAATTTGATTGCGCTTTGGACACAGTTCCAAATTGCTCTCGGGAATGGTTGGATCAGTTCACAACTCCACTAACAATGCATTAGTGGTCTACTTTTCTCACATCCTCTCCAACATTTATCATTTTTCTTTTCTGTCATATTAGCCAATCTGATAGGTGTTAAGTGGTACCTAAAAGTTTTAATTTGCATTTCTCTACTTAATAGTGAGTAAATGTCACTTCTTAAGGGGGCAGAGTAGATCAATGGAAAGGTAGCTAGATGTGGAAGATCTAGGCTCAACTCCCAACTTGTGTGACATTAGGCAATTCTCTTACCCTCTTTGAAAAATGAGGAGATTGGGCTAGATGGCATCTAACGCCTCTTCCCTTTCTAATTCTATGATCCTATGATATTCAGGTGACAAGTGTCCTTATACAAATAGCCCTATTGCAGTTCCAGGAGATATCACCACAAATTTGGGGATAGCTACTGCTTGAGATTTCTTTACAATAACCCCATTATTTCCGTGAAAGTTTAAACATGATCTAGAGGCAGGGGTAGGGAACCTGAGGTGTCAAGGCCATATGTGGCCCTCTAGGTCCTCAAGTGCCACCCTTTGACCAAATCCAAACTTCACAGAACAAATCGCAATTTTTATTTCTGTGAAGTTTGGATTCAGTCAAAGTGCCTCAGTTGAGGACCTAGAAGGCCACATGTGGCCTTGACGCCTCAGGTTCCCCACCCCTGAATTCTAGAGAGAACCTTCAGAGGAAAGAAGAGTATGGGAAAGCCATACCTTCTGAGAGTATCTTTAAGTAGTATCCCTAGTGAGGGGGATACCCATCAGTTGGAGAATGGCTAAATAAGTTATGGTATATGAATGTGATGGAATACTATTGTGCTGTAAGAAGTCATAAAGGGGGTGGTTTCTGAGAAACCAGAGAATACTTACATGAACTGATGCAAAATGAAGTGGACAGAACCAGGAGAACAATTTACATAATAACAGCAATATTGTAAGAATAATCAACTGTGAAAGACCTAGTAACTCTGATCACTACAATTCCAGAAGACTCATAATGAAAAATACCATATACCTCTTGATAGAGAAGTGATGGATTTGGAGTACAGATTGAAACATTTTTTTTTCTTTTTCTTTTTTTTTTTCAGAATATGGCTAATGTGGAAATTTTTTTTCATGACTTCATATTTGTAATGGGTCTTATACTTCTTGCCTTCTCAATGGATTGGGGAGGCAGAGAATTTATAACTGAAAATAAAATTGAATTAGAAAAAAAAGAATGCAGCATCTTTAAAAATATAAAAAAAACCATCCCTAACAGATGCTGAGAGACCCACTATGATAGCTTCTCTTCTTCCTCAGGTCCACATCTCTCCTTTATTTCCAGAAGAGCTAGCCTGGCTCAATATTTCTTAAACTGAGGTTGAGATTTTTCCAGGATATCACAAAGGAATATTAAAGGAGGCTATAGTTATGGAATTTAATTGCACTCCTAGGAGGTAGTAGGAATGTGAGGCTTAACATTCAGCAACCAAAGGGTTGCTGTCCCAGTGACCCAAAGCATACATCCTGTTGTTATAGAACCCCTGTGACTGAGAAGGAACTAGGTTTAGTGGATGGAGAGCTGGCACCCAAGTCAGGAAGACCAGAGTTCAAATCTTGTCTTTGATACACACTGACTTTGTTATGCTTGGCAAGTCACTTAAGGTCACCTATACCTCAACTCTAAAACTATAAGTTAGAAGCTTATTTTCATTGGTAAGAGGTAGTTTCATTACCAGGAATTCCATACACCAATGAATTCACAAGTTAAAAAGAAAGAAATGACTGAAAATGAGTTTTTTCCTCTATTACACTTCCCTAGGAGTGTCACAATCACTTCGGTAGTTGGTAGAATTTCAGTATTTGTGGTCTTTTAGGTCCAGTAATTTTTTTTTGTGGATTTTTTTTTGTTTTATTTGACAAAATATTCCAAGTTATTAACAGTAGGCTTTTTTTTTTTTTGCTCCATTTGATTGGAGGGCTCTTTATCTCCCATATATTTTAAACATAAAACCAAACCCAGACACAATCCAACTTACTCAACAACAGCTTCCCCCGTTGTCCTCAGAAATCACTAATAGGGTCCAGCAGCATGATTCCCACTCCCCATTGCATTGTGGAAAGCCATTCTCCCCTCTCCCCTCCCAACAATATGTCTTTCTCAGTTACCCCACTCACTGGAGTTCCTTGATCCTATATAAATTTCATCTAGGCTTACAGAAATCAGAGCCAAGTTAGAAATTGGGTTTGGGAAAGAGACAGTGATTGGATGGGGCTGAGTGAGAGGGAGAAATCTGGCTCAAGAAGCAGGAAAAATAGGGGGACTTTACAGGTCTCATTCCTACCTGCTCCTTGGTGTCTCCACACAAACATCACCCCATTCATCAAATCTATCCAAGATACAGTTAAGGTGAGGCATGCTCCCTCCTATCTTCTTCTAATAACATTATGCCCTTGTTTGTCATTCATTCTCGAAGAGGTAGGTCCAGTAATGTTTTGAACAATATAGTATGGTAGGAGTAATCTCCTTCCCCCATAAAAGTTAGTTTAGTTTTTCCTTAAAAGGTATTGAGACCTAGGGGCAGTAGATGGCACAGTGGATGATGGAGCACCAGCCCTAGAGTCAGGAGGACCTGAGTTCAAATGTGGCCTCAGACACTTAACATTTGCTAGCTGTGTGACCCAGGGCAAGTCACTTAACCCCAATTGCCTAAAACAGAAAAAAGAAAAAGAAAAGAAAGGCATTTATTGGGATAATGCA